TCCACAGCACCAATTCACACATATATATGCATCAATTATCAATTCGTATAACTCATATCATTCATATTATGTATGCATGGCATTTTAGAAACATATTTTCATTAAAAACTCAATTTATGGGAATTTCAATAGTATATAGGTATAAACGGAAATACTGCCCACTCACCTGGAGTTCGCCCAACAACTCCATCGCACAATACGTCAAGGCGTCATGACGATCGGCGCCTAAAACAATAATCAAATCCAATCTCAGAAATCATATCAATAGAATATATAACTTATATACAACACGTCACTACGCAGTTCGATCCGGAAGATCTGCAACTCAGATTTCAAATCCATAACTTCCAGAGGTCCACAATATATCTCTAGGACAATTTCCTAAAATTTCATTACCATCCAACGGTCAGATCTCCGTCAATTTCCAAAACCAAGTGATGGTTAACATTCTATTTTATGAACTTACAACTCCAATTCCGGAAGATCCCTAAATCGGATTACCGATCCGTAAGTTCCTATAATCCTCAAATATTACGTATTACAACGTATCAAATTTTGGTGACGATCCAACGGTCAAATCGTCAATTCACGTTTTCGCCTAACCACGAATCGTACCCAACTTAGGTTCAATTACTCAATTTACGTCCATCAATTATCAAAACTGAACCTAGAACCTTAAACACATGATAAGAATGACATTGGCGGCCATTGGCCACGCGCCGCCGCGGTGAATACTATATAAACGTTATTTAAAGCATATAACCAACAATTCTCAATAACTTCTCATACGGTGCTCAATTTGGGTATATGAATATACCACAGTGACCTACTCAACCTCACAAACATCGTGATATTTTTAAAATAATTTTCCTAGAGCCCACGCGCCCTCACGCGCCGGGGAGGCCACGGTGCCACGCGCCCCCCACGCGCGTCATCTCCTACCTCCAGACGCCGGAATAGTGTCACCGGCGCCGGATTCTGGGCAGACCTGCAATTGCTTGTTTCTCGCTCATTTTTGCACCATTTTCATGTTCTTTATACCAAATTGAAGCCCTCAACATGTAGAATGAAACCATACCTCTTAGGAGCTTCAAATCCTTCGAAATCTTGACAAGAAATTTCCACAAAAACCGGCCACCTTCGAACCTCTTGATCCCGACGTCAAAACACCTCCAACGATGCACTCCAAGCCTCTAGAGGTCCTAACAAAGCTCCCTGTGAGCTTGGATTGTCCTAATAATCAACCATTCAAGAGTTCGTGAACAATGCTCAATTCGAAGCTCGAGTTTTCAACGTGAAAACGAAGGGTTTCTTACCTAATATGGGTGTGGTTGAGTTCGTAGAGTCCTTAAGAGCACGATGGTGCCTTCAAAACCCTCGATCCATGAAGTTTCAGGGTTCTGTAGTGTTGGTCCGTGCGTTCGAGAGGAAGAGAGACTGAGATGGAAATGAGAGAGGGAAGACACGGGGAAAGGAAAATGAGAAGTGTCCCGTGAGTGTGGGTGTGATCCATCCAAAAATAACAAGTCCAACTCACATCCCTAGCCACACAAAAACTTAGGAATGTATGTATTTAGACCAAAAATATATGTCTCACACACATACTTTAGTACCCGCTAAAGGTACTTTCGTCATTTCACGCTCCCGATATGAAAATCTCGGGACGGGTTGTGACACTAAATAATTGTTTGAAGAATTCCATCAAAATGGGTTCTCAATGAAATATTGTCTCAGTGGTGTAAAATTGTGACTCATTGATCATAACATGGATCTATTTCTCCATCATGTGATTCGATCCAGAGCTGACATATATGATGTATCAGGCTCCCTCTCTGGATTGTGGTTCATGGTTTGACATATATAATGTATCAGGTTCTTTCTCTATATTGTGGTTCATGGTTTGCATACATGAAAATATTATGTCCTTGTGGTTGTGTTCATTGTGAATCTTCTAATGAAAAATATTATGTTATCGCCATTTTTTTATGGTTAAAAATAAATAAATAAGTGAGGAGCCGCATATAAGTTGTGTTTTTCATTATCAGTTCATGTCTTGATTTATCATCACATTGCTCCATGTTTGGAGATGCTAAGATGGTTGGGAATATGCTTCAATTTCTTGTACTCTTTGTCTGTTATCTTTTCTATTACTCTTGTTTCTCAGGAGGATATAATTTGGATTAATTCTTTTAAGTGTCTTCAAAAATGGGGAATACTTTTAATGGTTCGACTAATGAGTTAGGACATGGTATTTGGCAGAGTGTTAAATAGGCTCTAATTCTTGTCCAAACACCTAGACCAAGAAACTGTTTAATGCTAAACTAAATAGCCATTTGGTAAAATTGCATTGTTTGTATGTTTTTGCATAAAATACTTCTTGCTCAAAAGCGTTGTATTGTATTGCGTTTCAATCAAGTGTTAATGTAATAAGTTGACATGAAATGTTATCGTCTTCAGTGAATGCAACTGCTACAATTTTCTCTTCCATTTAACCAGCGATGGAGATGGTGGTAATGATATTGGTATGAAAGATTGTTGGGTTGCCTTTGATATCACGGATGCACCAGCTTGGTGGACTAATGGACATGTTTTAATGGTTTCTGGTCAATGCTTTCCTTGGTTGTGATTATAATGATTTATGATTATAATTGTTTGCATTAATGGTTTTTTTTTGGTAATTCTTATTCAAGAATGGTGCCAACGTAAAACAACTAAGGCTAAATATGTCTTATTGGAACACATAATTGTGTTATTTAACCATTGGACAAATGTTTATTACATCTTCACCAAAGTGGGATTTTATGGAAATTTTGGTCCGGAAAGGATGCATGGAATTGTGATTCAATTTTTAAGCCTTCTGGGCTGATGACAAAACCAAACAAAAATCGCGATGCCTACATGAAAATCTTACAGGAGTTGGTCGATCATGATGGCGGAGACGATGAAGTTTTCGAGGGACTTGACGAAAACGAGCACGACGAGTTTGTGTTGTCTAGCCTTTAAGCTCGTGTGGGCCATTGGAACTGGGAAGGTTGCATCTCAAGCTCATGAAGTAAGTAATGTCCTTTTTGATTTATATGGATGTGATTTAGTTAATTAGCTTCAATTTGAATTGATGTATGTATCATATTGCAAAGTGATTCTTTATTTTTCTACTAATTTTTTGTAGAAGTTATTGTTGAGGGGATGCCAATAAATAGGGGCACTTAGAATTAATGTTGGTTAAAGAAAATGACTTAGTTGATCTTTCTGGGTGGTGCATCTTGGTTGTTTTTGTGGAGGTGAAATTAAGTTAAACAACTTCTTCTTTGAGAGCGTAAGTGCTTTTTATTTTAGTAACTTTATTCCTTTTGATAGGTGTAGTATTTGCTTCCTGTTCTGATACAGATTTATAGATTTTACTGAGTAATGCCATTTTTGAAGTAGATGGTAGGTTGCAAGGTGGAACCTGATGCATGTGAAAATAATCCATAATTAGATTCTACCATTAGTGTAGGAAGTTGGTTTTTCATACGATGTTTGGTTGATTTCTCCTACTTACCATAAAAAATTGAAATGTTAAAAGTTTTATGCATGGATACTAGACAAAGACATAAACAGTAGCACTGTTTTATATGCTATGAATTGTGTTCTATCTTAATCTATTGTGTTATGGCTATACAGTAAAGAATTAAGGTAGTTTATGTCTCTTGCTCAAAAGTGAGACTTAGACATGCATGATTAAATGAACCTTGTTTTCACGACTGCTTAAGTTTGAGGCAATTTTGAGTTAAAGATTGCTTAAATGGTTTTGACCAAATAATTATTAGGGTTTGGGGTTCACCTTACTAATGTTTCTTGGCTTTTTAGATGGTTGCAATCATAACAATAAAGTCTTTTGCGATAATATTGTCACGCCCCGAACCTGGGATCGGTGGAAAAATAAAACCCTGCGCCCGAAACGTGAGTAAAAGTAAAAATAAATAAAAAGAAATTGACACGGGTTGAAAAATGAACCCCTCTTATTAAAATAACTCCAAAACCTTACAGGGTGTACAAAAGTAATAAATTAAAATCCTTAAACTTCTCAATGACAACCTCAGCTCGTCCAACACCTGTCTTGCCAAATAACTCATCTGTAAAATAATAGGTGAGGGGTGAGCAACAACCACCGTCGCTCAGTAAGTAGAATATATAATATGCCAGTCAAGCTTGCCATTTTAATCACACTATAAAATAGGATAATAATATCAAAGCTTTAACCACGTAATTTCATATCACATCATCCATTTACATATTCATTACATCCTTCATAAATTGTAACTCACCACGTGACCCCTAATGGCCGTGTGCAGTTTACATTTATCCCTCGGATTAATGCAACACCAAAGTTCTCATGCTCCATGAACATTTCCAAATAATCCACATATCACGATATAAATAACTCCAAAACATTTCAACAAATCCAACATGTTTGACTTAAATAGATAGAGATTTATAAATAGATAAAACCCACAATAGTTCGTGGTTTTCATTTATCAGAAAATAAGAATACTTTGAAACACATTACATAAACCACTCACCTTGATAATCCAAGCATTGGCAAGACAACCCAACTAACATCTCCACACACGTCAAACTCTCTAACCCTAGCTCGCTATCTCTCTCTATACATATATAATATACACACACACACGTACATACAAGGGCGGATCCACAGTGGGGTCGTCGGGGTCGCACGACCCCTTGGAAACCATGGAAACAACCTTGAAGCTCCCATATGCGACCTCTTGGAGCTGGGGTCGTCGGGATCGTCAGGAAGAGGAAGAAGAAGACTCGGCAGGAAGAGGAAGAAGAAGCAGCGCTCGCGCGCTTCTTTTTTTTCAAAACTCGGCAGGAGTCCTCCCCAACCCTAAACTTTCACACATTGCTTCCTGATCCTTTCAGAAAACGTCTCAAAACCTTCAGTTTTTCAGAAAATACATTTCAGATTTAAATCTTCAGAAAACGTTTATACGATCATGGGTGCAAAGCAATCTTACAAACTACTCCTTGTCATTATGGTGGCGGTGGTGGTGATGCTTGCCACCGTATGCCGCGGCTCCAGCGTGGGGCATACGCCGTCTGCGAATGAGGAAGTTCTTGATGAGTTTGTGGAGTTTAAGGACCAGTCAAGGCAGACGGATGACGCGAGGGCGGCGGAGAAGGCGAGAGAGGGTAAAGAAGGGTCGGAGTCGTGGATGGAGTGGGCTAAAGAGAAAATCACCGGAGGACTTGGGCTGAAGCAGGATGATGAGAATTTTTTGAAGCAGGATGATGAGAATTTTTTGAAGGATAGTTCTAAGAAGGCTTCTGATGCTACTTATGACACTGCTTCTGGTTAGTCACTACTGTTTTTTAAATTATTTCCTACATAATTTGTGATGGAATGTGAAATTTTCTGCTTTATTTTGGATCAATTTTTAAATGTTGTCCAGGAACTGGTTTTTTTTTTTTTTTTTTTTTTTTTCATGGGATAGCGTTTGAGGATTTTACATTTGTACTGTGTTAAGTGTTTTCAATATGAACTCCAACATAGTGACGAAGAAATGTGTAGAGATAAATTGATTAGAAATGGATGGACACTGGATAGACAATAACCGAGTGGCATGAAACCATCACTTTTATATGATTTGTGTCCTTCGAAATGTATTTTTAATGGAAAATTTGTAACGGTTTTATTTATTCGAATTAAAGTTTGTAACTAGTTCTATTTATTCATATTTCCCACGAAACAACGAAATGTTGAAATAGTTTGTAATATTGTTTCTATTATGAATTATGAATGAAAGTACTAAGATTTCATTTTCAATATGTTTTTCCATCCTAAATTTTTATTTGAACTTTTACACTGCGACCCCTTGGGGTAAGATTCCTGGATCCGCCACTGCGTACATACATATGTATACATAGATATATACTATATGTACATCACCCCTACGTAATGCATGCGTTGCATGCTTCTGTGGTTTCAAAAGAATGGAGCCTTTGCTCCTATTTATACTAGGAGAAGACGGCAAAGATTAAGCCATTTAATTGGTTGGAAGTGCAACGCATGACAGCTAGCCCTAGGTTTTTCTTAAAAATCCGACACCTCAAGCAATAGAGTGGTGACTCACTTTAGTATCTAACAGCTCTTGCTTAAAATTCATGAGTCACAGAGACACATGTCCTTTGGTCATCACGTGTTGATCAACATACAACTCTAGTTGACACACACACATATATAGGACAACTTATAATATAATTATGGAATACGGGTTCTCACAAATATTTTTTGCACTAACCTTTACTTTTTCAGGAAAAACTTCTGAGCGAGATTTTGAAGTGCAGGCTTGTGTACCTACTGGATTATGTAAATTATGGTTTTAAAACTTGTAATATGTCAATATTCTTTTCCAAATAGAAGAATGTATGAATGGTTTGAGATTTTTTTAGGGTATAACAGTTTTAAGAGAATTAAGTTGATTATTTTATTGTCCAAAGACTTCAAATCTTGGTTGTTTTCCTAATCTTTTACATGACTATTATACAATAAGGTTACATAATCTATTTTCAAAATGATGTTTATGTTTCTTACCCAAAGGTGTAACATAAACATGTATGAATGATGGATGTGAAATATTTGTCCATAAAGGAAAAGGTGAAGGCAGGAGTATCTTCTCATAAAGCCCTTAGTTGTTGGAGTGTTCAAGGATCATGTCATGAATATGGGAGTCATTGACTCATTCAATTCTGCTGTTATGTGGGAGTGAATTTCCCTATTTGAATAAGTATGAATTCATGTGTTTTGTTCTTCATGGTTTTTAGTTGACATGTTGATGAATTCAACCTTGATGATTGTTTCAGTCGTTTGTATATACAAATATATGCTTGCAGCAAGCTGATACAAGTTGAGGTAATGCTCAGGAACTTGAGTGATAAAGAAGCTTGTTTAATCAAGTGTTATGAGAACATTGCAACCAAACAAAGGCTCGACAATGGTTAGTTGGATTGTTCAGTGGGAGAGATGAATTGAGATACAGATTAAATTATGTTATTAATGTGTATAAATGTTTGATTACACTTGCATTATATAGTATGAATTTGAGGATTGTGATTTTAGGGTGAATACATTATTAGTACATGTATTATTTCCTAAAGTTCAATCCTTAAACGATTACTAGTAAATGTGAATAAGACGTTAGTTGCTTAAAACTCAAAGTGATCACTAAAGAATGAATTCATATTAGACATGGAACTTCTAAACCACAACTAGTTAGCGTCCATGTGGGAGAATTTAAGAATCCTATTTGGACTTAACAAGTTGTGATAAAGGAGAGGGTACATGTTGATAATATAATTCTATAGAGTTTGAATACGTGGAAAAGTTAACATCCTATTTTTGTAGAAGCACATTCAAAATGTTTTGAAATAATCACTTAAGGTATTTTACCACTAATCCATTATTCCATTTAAACCGGGATTTGGTGCAACAGGACAATAACCATACTTCCACGATAGATGGAAGTTGGCTGCCATTGCCACAATAAATGTAGGAATTCCCCGCTCATAGAAAAAACGTTCTAAGAAAAGGGTTCTATCACCATAAGAACATAAAGGCTTCAAGTGAGTAGAAGACTTTCCTTGAACGATTACTTGCAGACTAGGGTTCTCTCGTTCATCCAACTCAATGTCGTCTTCAGGTATCCTCAAAAGCTTTACCTGATTGTATAACATTAACCTTTTGTGTGTGTGTGTGTGTGTGTGTGTAATGACGCAATGGTATGTGGTTAACACGACACACATACATATTGATCTTGTTTTAAATAGCATGTAATCCTTGTATAGAGCTAACCTTAATTTTTAGTTCTAACCTAACATTCTAACAAACTCTTCCTAGACCAATCTGCACCATATTCAATCATAAACCAATCTCCGCCATACATCTATTCATACTTTCAACATTAATTTCAAATTGTTTAACGATCGGTGTCCAACTCCGAACATTATTCTAGGAATATCATGCATATATAATACCAATCTCGAATATTGGCTCCATTAAACTCACAAGTGCTTCCGAACTGGCACGCGTAGTATCTTTGGTCTAACATGATTCTTTTAAATATATTGAAATATATGTTCATATATTTTTAAAGGTAAGTGCTGAAGATTGAAGAAGGATATATATTTATATACACACACACATCAACTGTCACTAAATTTCTTAATTTGTATCCAATCATGAAGCCCACGTCAAACCTGTGTTTATATATATGTGTGTGTGTGTGTGTAAAACTCATGCAGCTGGCTGGCAACATAAGTCAAGTACGTAGCCTGGCATAAAATGGGGTTATGCCTTTAATTATATATATATATTGTAAACCCCTCGTCGATCCACCACCTCCAATGCTCCAGCTAAATTATTCCCTCGGAAATGGCTACGGTTTTGTTCCTTTTGGACTAGCATACAATAAGCCTTAATGAGCGCCTGCAATCCGAATTCACTCTGATTAAGTACTCTATAATTCCAACTTAGCTAGAGATGATGTCAAAATCTTAATTTTTTTTAACGTGTCAGTAAATTTGTTAGCATCTTATTCTTTTATTAAACTTATGTTGTTTGATTGTGATATTCTCTTATTATTATTTTTTAATAAGAATCAACATGATTAATGCACGTTATGGTTCATGATCTAGTATGATAGTATTTCTCTACATATGTGGCCTCCTTTCTTATACACAAAGGCAGGAATTACTTTCCCTAATTATCCGGTTAATATACTAATCGGGGTAAGGTTCAGAGATCAAATTAGCACAGCCTAGTTGGTAAAGATATGAATCTCTCTTCCAAAACAGAATACTAGCTAGTATCAAGTAAATAATATAGAATCATCCGAGCTTATTCTCTAATATTCTACTTCAGTATAGCAATCTTGGATCCTAAAATGATAAAGATTTGTAGAAATACAGATAAGCAGAAAATCCTCAATGATATTATTCTTTTCACTTTTATATGTATATAGACACATTTTTGTGAGGTCCACTTCGTAATGTATTCCAACGATCCAAACATCTATCTTTTAGGTATTTCCTCAAGGATCATGTCTGTCAAAATACCTAAATCTTAAACCATATGACCGTGTGGGATTAAGGATTTAAGGTTACTTTGTAGAACTATATTCGTCCATTTTCTTCACTACAAATGAATGTTTTAATGGTGGTTTTGTATTTGTCTAATTTTTTGTAAGGATTATCTATGAATAATGTTCTACAAAATAGACAGCTCGAATCGTTAAACACGTTACGGAGTAGGCCTGCAAAACGTGTGTGAAAAATTGGGTAAATACTCTTTACAGATTTCACACTTAGATACTGCACCTCTTGATCATATTATTTTGAACAACATATATATAGAGAACATCCATCAAGCACTCTTTTAAGGATATATATATGATCTGGTCAAGTATTGAAAAGTTGGTTGGTCACACATTTCGGCCAATAAAACTTATGATCATGTCACTCGTATGGTTGAGCTTAATTTCGGATAAGGTTAAAATTAATTCCGAATTAAGAAAGCTAATTAACAATAATCAATCAAGTGAATGGTGTAAAAAATACGTCTTTGTGACGCCTCCGTTGCACTTGAGGTAGCCAAGCATGCAGGGCCCCGTCCTTCACTTCATGATCAGTTTTGCATTTGTCACCATATACATTTGGTACCTTATCCTTTTCAATTACTTGTCCATTTCTGCTTGTTTTGTTTCAAGCCGGATCCTATTCGGGTCCACAATTAATCCACATTTCACTTGATTGACTACATAATCAATTCAAAATTTCTTAATTCTTCTTCTTCTTCTTCTTCACACTCCACATTATTTTTATTTAGATAATGTTAGAGAGACTAAATTATGAAGCTAAATTTGCAAACCAAATGATGTGTCACCAATAAGCAATAAGCACGTTAATCTAATTATCAACAACCACATCATTTTTTTTACAAATTTTGGTTTAAAAATTTGATCTCCGTATTATCGTTTTTATTTTTATTTTTATAAAGTAATGTTCAAAATTGAAATAATTTTTTTGTGGGGTCTTCAACCCAATATATTCTGCCACCATTTTCCATGATTTCTTGTTTGAGACCACCTTAACCTACTCATATATCATTACAAATTACATAGTCATCGGAATATCAGATTTGTATATATCATATTCATGGGCAAATGGGCCTCCCCAAAAAATAATCCTCTCTTTTTATTTTTATTTTTATTTTTTGGCCGTGAAATTGATATATACAAATCTGTTATATAAAGTAAGGTCATGTTTGTTAATTGCACTTTCAAAAATATATCATGGATTATAA